CCTCCTGTGGGATAGTAATCCAAGCAGGTTATTTAAATAATTTCTGGACCCTTCCTCAGGCTTTTTTTTTTTCATTCAGACAAATTATAATGATCTCTTGTCTACAAGCTGGTCTAATTTTGATGTAACAAACATTAGGTCAGTGTCAACAGGAAAAAAAGCATAAGTGATAGAAAATGCAACAGCTAGGTGATCCTTACCATTTAATCACTAAGACAACAAAAAGATGTATGGAGCTGTGGATCAAGAATGCTCTCCTTGACATATACTTTGAACTTGGATGCTTTGAGCTTAGACTTCTATATGTCTCATTCTCAGATTTCTCTTCTCGCATATCAAGTTCCAGAAAAATAGCAGCATAATCTATTGCGATATTTTAAACACATTGTGTCATATGATGCTCTCGTTACAGTTTTACTATTTTATATGTTGGAAAAGAAGACAGTGAAATCAAAAAAGAAAAGATGAAGAAAACTCAGAAGACCCTAAAATGAAACAAAGTAAAACAATTATCAAGTTTCAGTGAGGACTGAAGGAGTAATGACTTCAGAACTTATTCTAGCAAAATGGGGGGGGGGGGGAATGAAATATAATGGGAAATGGCAAGCAGGAACTTAACAAACCAACTGCTGACAACAGCATCCGAAACTTGCAGATGAATATTCCATCTAAAATATCATGACCACAAAGCCAAATATACTGTTGTGGAAGCAGAAGACCTGTTATTTGATGAAGCCATGAAAAGAGCAAAAGGAGACAGGCTACTTATGGTCCACTAACTACTTGGTAGTAACCAAAAACAACAACAACAACAACCCAATGAAGTTGCAGGTTTTTGTCAGATGGCACATACACACATCCTCCACTACAGCATTGGAATAACAGCAGTTAGTCCTCTTCTTGACAGTTTGAAATATTGACATTTATTTTATGCTCATATGTTTTATATGGTACTTAGTTGATTTTATTGTGCCAGTTAGTTTTTAATTTACTGAACCATGTTGATATGTTTATATTGTGCCAAGGAATTATTTGGCTTTAATTTTTAATTGAGTTTTATTTGCAAACAAAATACTGCAGTTATATATGTTATGACATGCTTAGTTATAGGCACTAAGTAAAGCTACTACTGTTGCTACTTTTGAGAGATGCAGGTTTACACACAATAACAAACCTCTCTGGAACAAACAGAACAGGGGCCTTGTTTTCCCAATTGGCCTGATGCTACAACTTTGCCATAACAATTGCATATTTTGATGCAACAAAATATTTTAAGTTTTCTAATTGGAGATAAATGCCCTAATAATAATTAAGTACCTAATAAGCAAGGTTTCCCTGTCTCAATCAAGATTTGAATTCAATTATTCACCCAACAATTCCACATAGTTCCTTACTTGTACACTAGAGGTCATATGGCTACCATCCCATTCCAGCAACATGCAGATGGCTCATAAGCACAGTTAGGTCTTTAAGGGGAAAAGGCGCTTTTGGTTTTCTAAAAGTTCTATCCAATTTCTGCAATAATAATAATGAAAGGAAACAACAGTGACAGCAACAGTGCAACAATAAAGCAACACTTAACAATCAGTGACCTCAGGGGAGAAAAACAGCAGCAATCCAAGGAGCTGGCATGATAAATACTGCAGAGATATATATTATTAACATGCATATAATCTGCATTCCAGGACTGGATGAAACTTGCTAAGTGGTACTAAATCTGAAACATTAAATAATTTTTTTTAAAAAAAAGCATTTCTAGCAAATAGTAAAAATCACAATTTAGGAGAGAAAAAGTCATAACAAAGAAGGCTTTGTTGTCTGATATAACATTTGCATAATAAATTATGTCAAACAATTAAAGTAGGTGTTTAATTTTTATAATTTATTAATACAAAATATTGGGCTTCTTTTAACTAAAGAAAGGTCCAAAATATGAAGAACTTAGATGTTAAACCTCCAGCGACATCTTAATGGTTATCAAATATTCCAAACGTTAACTTTCCTTTCATCTTGCCTGTGTGAAAAGAACTGCATTGCCTCAAAAGAAGACAAAATCCCACTGAAATTAAAAAAAATATTAAAAAATAAAATATCATTTGGAAATGTTTTTATCCTCACAAGCTCAGAAACCAACAGATATGTAATTAATATTGCTTATCCCACCTATTTCTACCAAAAAAGGATCCCTAAACTAGAAGCTGTGACTGCAAACAATCTTAACTGGAGCAGGAGCAGAGTATAAAGTATAAACACCAAAACCTATTACAGTATGGGAGGGTAGTTGTAATCCAATTAACCAGTGGAACAACCTGCCTCCAGAAGTGGTGAATGCTCCAACACTGGAAGTTTTTAAGAAGAGACTGGACAGCCATTTGTCTGAAATGGTATAGGGTTTCCTGCCTGAGCAGGGGGTTGGACTAGATGACCTCCAAGGTCCCTTCCAATTTTATTATTATTATTATTATACCCCAGTTAAGGGGCCTTTCCTTGCTTAGCCCTGTTATGCAAACATCCTAACCTAATCTAAGATGGGATAGCTATAGAGACCTCCCTATTTAATCCTGCAAGAAAATGAGTTGAGCTATAGAATGGCTAGGAGATCCAGGTTCTCCGTTATAAAACCTATTTTCACATTTAGTTGTCACTGAACATGTCTCCCTAGGATTGGTTGGCTGCAAAGGCTAAAGATGTACACAGACATCTTTTTAGCATTTACAACCAACAATTATTCCAAATGAGAAAACCCCAGCAGAGATTCTTACCCTAATGTTCTTAAAATACAGCTTATTCCACAATACAAATAAGCAATGTGTCCAACAGTGCAGTTTGTATGTTCTGATATCCCATCTGGCTTAGATGATGGGGATAGGTCACAAGTCAGACAAACACAGCTGTGTGTTCTTCATGACAGGAATGTGCCTTAAGTTACTTGCATGTGTTTCTCAGTTTCTGGGTTGTTTTAATATCCCTGGGGGCTTTATTGTAGCTAGGGAATCCAGGTCTTTTTCTGTTTCATTCCCCCCTCCCCCCCAAAAGGCTGGCCTCCTCCTTTCCACGAGCATGTTTTTCTTCTCATATGGCCACTTTGGTGGGACTGACCTTGTAGTTAGATTTTGGAGATGCCTTTTTTTCTGGCAACTTATTTTCTGCAGATTGTGGAAACATCACAATGCTGGGGGAGGACTGGCGAAGCAGATGCAATGGGAGTGTGGTAGAGAGAAGGACTGCCAGCACAGACGGTGGCAGCAGGAACAGGTAGGGATTATTTTGGAATAAATGTGGCTTGGAGTCCTGTCACTTTTACTTTGCTTCTTTTTCTCTCCCTTTCCTTTATACCTCATTGCTGTCTGTCTTAAATTGAGGAAAAAGTTGATGTCAGGAAGACCTCAGCAGTATGCCCTACTTGCAGTGGTATGAAAATGATCCATTAACTGTTACTCAACAGAATTTCACAACATAACCATCTCATTATTAGGCTTCTGCTGAGGCATCTGAAGCCAGTTTAAGGTAGTCTGGCATGAAAGTAGTGTTTTCCCTAGCATTGCAACCCAAGTCTCCTCAGGCGGGCATTCCAGGGGACACGGAGGAGAGGTTTTTGGAAGCTGGTGATTAGCTGAGCTTCAGCTGGATTACTTTAGGAGTTCCCTTCCTATCCAGTTGCTGTGGTTTTATGGCTGCAAGGACCTTTCAGATGTAGCTGCAAGAGACACCAGAAACCTCTCGTGGTACAATGACTTATGGGATATCAGGCACTTACAGGAGAAATTGGGTCAGGACTCTGTATGCAGAGTGATGACTTTCGCTGAGGTAGTGTTATCATGTGGTGTTAGCAGCAACAGTAAAGAGATTTGACTGGATTAGTAGCTGACAGGATTCAGTACAAAATGCGTAAGCATAGATACAGATTTTGCCAAGGACCATCTGCCCAGCACAACCACAAAGCTGTGCCAGCAGGAACATTTTGGTCTTGAACTATAGCCTTCCATCATCCTGAAAGGCGTTCAAGGACATGGTGTAGGAAAGACTTTCCAAATCTAGCGTTTTGTAGGAAAGTTAAGAATACATTACTCAGAGTTCCCAGCTTTTGTCCTAATAGACAGGGAATATGGAGTGATGAACATTTGGTAGGGAAAGTTGGACTAATGTTACATGTACTGTGACTTTCCCAGGGCAGCTGGATTCTTTCACATATACCTGTAGCATCTTTCGAAGGGGTTTTTGGGAGGATTACACAATCCAAAATGTTATTTATTCAGGTAGCCAGAAACTGGATTTGGTTTGTTCCATCAGTTTTGGATGAAGGTTAGCCTCATCTCCACTTAGGAAGAGCATGTTTCATATCCATCCTGGAATTTGCATTCCTAACTTTCTAACATCTCTACCTCATCGTCCAGTTTTCCCTGAAATGTATGGAATGTAACATAGCAAGATGGTGTCTTCTGTTTTCTTTCCTAGGATTGTGCCAAAATTACATAAGAGTACATCCAGACTCTTCTTTCTACAAAGATTCTGACAATGTTTCCTTTTACCTAAATACGTAATTTGGGGATATTAATCTTTTTCTGGACTTTCATACACCATGAGTACCCATCTGATTTATGCAAAAGGAATTCACAACCTGCACTGTAAGACATGGCAAACATAATAGCAAATGAATCAAGATATCCACTTAAATTCTTGGGCTCTACCCTTGTCCCAAATCCCTCCAGACAAATTGCTAGTCTTCTAACACATCCCTGAAAGCCAGTCAGCTTGGGATAACTTCTGAGTGTTGAGAAAAGACAGAAAAGAAAGCAGAGGTTGTTATAGAGCACTCAGGACTGGAACCTCTGAGGAGATTGTTTAGGCTGGCCTACAAACTTACCTTGTTACTAAGGTGATAACAAAATAACATATAATTCTGAAGTTGCAGAGACCTTTGATACAAATATTGGGGCGAGGTTGGAGAAAAATAAATGTGATGTTGTTGAGCAAGGGAGACAGAAGGGGCATCCTGATCTCCTCAGCCTCCTTCTGGTTACTATATTAATACTCTCTGGCCTCCTGTAGTTGAGAAAGGTATTCATCCTCTGGAGGGTTGACAGCACACTGTTGCCCATTATTGGGAGGCCGCACAGCATGGTATCGACTCCAGTCCCCTTTGCAGAGGATCCAAGGCAGCATGTCCACCTTGTAGTGTAACTCAGGAGAGAACTCTGTGCTTATGAGGTTGGGCGCTCCTGCTCCCTTGCCTCGGGTGATAAGCTTGGTGTTCTCATCATAGCAACAGTGTTGGGCACCTAGAGTGGTGCTGTCCAGGGATAGCATGGAACGCAAGCAGAAACGGGCTGTGGGTTTGTAGATGTCCAATCGTTCCTTTGGCGCACTGGCATCCTGCCATCGGAAGTTCTTGCCCTTCTGCTCATCTTGCAAGTTTACAGCACTATAAACAGCTTCTAAAGGGTAAGAGCAGGGACAGTTGGGTAGGTCTGAAAGCACTTTGCTTAGGTATTTGTTGAGGAAATCACTCTTGCAATTAAGCCATTTCTCACAACTATCCACATCTGGGAAAGGAAGGAAGAATCAAATCAGCATAAGTCATTAGGAGATTATGTCTTAGAATTTGTGTCCAAATTCTAAGAAAGCAAATACTTTTTTACTACAATTTCCATGGCTCAGGTGATTTTAAGCATGTTGGAGAATAAGCTCAGGCGTTTATTAAAACTACAGCACAAATGTAAGAAACATTTACAAAATATTTGGAGGACAAATAGCAAAGCTTCTTGAATTCAGAAGTGGGTAGCAAGAAGTAAAACAGAGATCCTTGAGCCTATTTTGAAATCTTTACTTACTACAAGAAAATGTAATTTTCTGAAAATAGTATTAATAGCAGATACAAATAGCCACACTGATAGGGTGCAAAGTAATTATTTGGTGTAGCAATTAAGAGTGGGGGGATCTGTTAACTTCAATTCACTTCATTTTCTTATTTTCCACTCTTAAATGTATTTCTTCCTGTTTCTGCATCCATTTGCAATATTAATAAAGATCTCCACAAAACTTTGTATATTTTAATGCCCATTTGTTCTAGCATAAAAATTGAGACAGCAAAATTTGAATGTCAAAGGCTACCAATACCTTTGTTCACATATAGTTTTGGGAAGTATGAATGAGACAGATCAACATTACAGTGCAGTTTCTTGTTATTCCCTAATAACAATCCTAATATTATTGTCTTAAGGGCAAGGACTTTACTGGCCTGCATTCAGAATCTCCGTGGCATTTTCAGCTTCAGGTGGTGTCTCTTCAGTGGTAGAAGCCATTGCCCCAATTTCTCCTTGAGAAAAGCACAGAAGCAAACAGGTCAGAGTGTACACTGTGAGATACCATCTGCTCTACGTAAAAGATATACAGGTATAGAAACTCCACCAGTTTTCTTATCATTTCCAAGACCACAAACTGCTCCCACATATGGAAGGGCTAAAAGCTTCATTTTGAACTTCACAGTAAACTTTTAGCTGATGGCCTCAATATAGCTGGTGTATCAAACAGATGAATAAAGGTATAGTGGAAATGGTTGCAATTAATAATAAATCCATTGATTTTTCAGGACTGTCATCAAATATTGCTTCACTGCAGGAGACAATCCAGTTCCAGAAATGTCTTCATTTTATTATATCAAGGAAATGGAGGAAGAAGGGCTTCTCAACATTCAAGGGCAAATAATGGAAGAAGGATCACAGCCAAAAGCATTTTCCTCCTTTTCAGATTCCACATTAATTCTCATAGGATGTCTGAAAAGACAATTTCTAAAAACGCAGAAAGAATTCCCACATGGTCCAGATGATGAGATAGCAATAGAGCATGCCCATAGACTGACATGAATGAATGAGTAACTCTGAAGGGTTAAAGCAAAGCCTATGGAAATACTGCAGCCCAGAAAATTAGAACATACCAGGACAGTGCTGCAGCTCACAAGTTCTTGATTCTGTGGCTGTGCATGCATAACCACAAGACCGGGTTCTCTTCTGATGGCCACTGCTACAGGTTACACTGCAGGAAGACCAAGGACTCCAGTCCTCTTCATGTTCATAATCTGGAGACAACAGCAACAACAACAACAAAATAAAACAAAACACATAAAGATCCAACAAAGTCTAGTGAAGAACAAAGTTAGAATCCTTCTACAAGATATGCAGAAGAGGTCAGTGTGAGCTATACTTCTGTCATGAAGGCTTTCCCCCATGATTCTTAATATGAGACGATGCTCTCATTTGCAAATGATGCTACATTTTACTAGATTTTTTTAGTGAGGAACAAAAGGGGAAGTTTAGCTCCCAGAAGTCCCATCCATTGATCAAACTCTGCCTCAGAATTCTCAACTTGCAGGCCAATACAACCTATATCTTCTAGATGTGCTTGGGCTACAATTTCCAGAATTCCCAGTCATTGACTATGCCGATTGGAATTCTGGCAGCAACAATCCCAACATATAAATGTCTGATTGAGAAAAGTTGTTCGTAGTATACAATATAAAGGGAAGTGTAAATTTCATGCAGCATATGCCATGCCATTCATGAATGAAAAATGCTCAGTTTCAACAAGCTCCTTCTACACAGTGAGATCACATCAAATGAGCTGTTCACCAGCTATTGTTCTTTGCTCCTTAATGGAAGGAGGGTATACTCAGCAGATTAGATTTATTAAGAGCAAAAAAAGTAGACTCACCATAGTTGTATTTCTCTTTTAAGATCCAATTCTTTCGATTAGGCCACCTCTGATGCCAATTTCCCCCCACTCCACTCAGTACTATTTCTTCTTCATCATACTCTGATGTATAATCTTCCTCTTCCTCCTCCTCTTCTTCATCCCTGCTCTTTATGTTCAAATTATCATCACCATCCTCTATGGGATCTGTGTATTCCCAGAAAAGAGGCCAAAAGAGGTCCTTATGAGATAACCATTCAGAGGAAGACAGGGACCAATCATTACTAGTCTCCTTCAGCAAGTCCATCTCCATCTCTGCTTGAGGATCATTCACCACCTCAATGGTCACCTGGAAGTCAAGGCATTGAATCTGACTATTTTGGAAGCATCGGCACTAAATCAAAAGATAAGCAGCACATTTTACCTTCAACTATCATATGTCTTTCACATCTTACCTTTATTGCCCCAAAAATGTTGTCCTTGTAGCTCTTGTCTCTCTGCTTTTTCAAACTATTCTTCATACTCACTTATTCTCTTTCCACCTGAATTAATTTTCAAACTCTATTTGCATATTTTCTATTTCTATTTAAGCATAACTATTTGAGGGATGGGTGGGCGCAATGGCTCAGTGGTTAAAGACACTGAGTTTGTCAACTGGAAATCTGACAGCCCGGGTCTGACACCCAAGCACCACATGACAGAGTGAGCCCCAGTTCCTGCCCATCTAGCAGTTTGAAAGCATGCAAATGCGACTGGATAAATTGGTACCACTTCAGTGCACCTCGACATATAGTCATGTAGTCACATGACCATGGAAATGTCTTCGGACAATGCTGGCTCCTTCGGCTAACAAATGGAGATGAGCACCACCCCTAGAGTCAGACATGACTGGATAGGGGAAACCTTTACCTTTATTTGAGGGATATAAATTATGGATTGTGTGAATGTGCTAATGTTTCTTTCCCTCTTTCTTTCATAGCTTTTGAATCTGGAATCATCCAGTAAAGCTCCACGGTGAAACATTCAGAGAAGACAGCCATTTGCAAACTGCATAGTTAACAAAGGTATCTTGTTATGAATGTAATGATAGATACGACCATTACAGCTTTAAAAGGAGGGCCAAGCACATTAATAGAAAATAAGGTTATTCATGGCTACAAACCACAATAACTATGAATTATCCTGAGTATAAAAAGGACAAGTATAAAAAGTGGAAAGAGGGGCACATAACTAAGTCAGAATATCAGCAAATAGCCCGAGCCTGCAAAGATGAAGTGAGGAAAGCTAAGACTCATAATGAACTAAGGCTTGCGACCAAAGTCAAAAATAACAAAAAAAGCTTCTTTCAACATGTAAAAAACAAGAACAAAGTGAAGGAAATGATTGGTCCATTAATGGGTGAAAGTGGCAAGAAGGTGACAAGCAATGGGGAGAAAGCAGAACTATTTAACTGGTTTTTTGCATCTGTCTTTACACAAAGGGAAAAAACAGACCAACCTATCAAAAATAGTGCCATAAAAAACAGAATAGAAACACAAGTTAAGATAGGCAAGAAAATGATAAGTGAGCACCTGTCCAGCCTAGACGAGTTCAAATCACCAGGACCAGATGTATTACACCCCAAGGTTCTCAAGGAACTGGCAGATGTGATCTCAGAACCACTGAACTATATTTTTCAAAGATCTTGGAGCACTGGGGAACGGCCAGAGGACTGGAAAAGAGCTGATGTAGTTCCCATCCTCAAAAAAGGGAAAAAAATGGACCCAGGAAATTACAGACCTATTAGCCTGACCTCAATACCTGGGAAGATTCTGGAAAAGATAATCAAACAACGAATCAGCAAACACCTAGAGGCAAACAAAGTCATTACTAAAAGCCAACATGGGTTTGTCAAAAACAGATCATGCCAGACAAATCTTATTGCATTCTTTGACCAAGTGACAAAATTAGTGGACCAGAGGAATGCTGTGGATATAATTTACTTGGACTTCAGTAAGGCATTTGATAAAGTAGATCACAACCTACTACTTGATAAGATAGANAGGTCCTTATGAGATAACCATTCAGAGGAAGACAGGGACCAATCATTACTAGTCTCCTTCAGCAAGTCCATCTCCATCTCTGCTTGAGGATCATTCACCACCTCAATGGTCACCTGGAAGTCAAGGCATTGAATCTGACTATTTTGGAAGCATCGGCACTAAATCAAAAGATAAGCAGCACATTTTACCTTCAACTATCTATATGTCTTTCACATCTTACCTTTATTGCCCCAAAAATGTTGTCCTTGTAGCTCTTGTCTCTCTGCTTTTTCAAACTATTCTTCATACTCACTTATTCTCTTTCCACCTGAATTAATTTTCAAACTCTATTTGCATATTTTCTATTTCTATTTAAGCATAACTATTTGAGGGATGGGGGGGCGCAATGGCTCAGTGGTTAAAGACACTGAGTTTGTCAACTGGAAATCTGACAGCCCAGGTCTGACACCCAAGCACCACATGACAGAGTGAGCCCCAGCTCCTGCCCATCTAGCAGTTTGAAAGCATGCAAATGCGAGTGGATAAATTGGTACCACTTCAGTGCACCTCGGCATATAGTCATGTAGTCACATGACCATGGAAATGTCTTCGGACAATGCTGGCTCCTTCGGCTAACAAATGGAGATGAGCACCACGCCTAGAGTCAGACATGACTGGATAGGGGAAACCTTTACCTTTATTTGAGGGATATAAATTATGGATTGTGTGAATGTGCTAATGTTTCTTTCCCTCTTTCTTTCATAGCTTTTGAATCTGGAATCATCCAGTAAAGCTCCACGGTGAAATATTCAGAGAAGACAGCCATTTGCAAACTGCATAGTTAACAAAGGTATCTTGTTATGAATGTAATGATAGATACGACCATTACAGCTTTAAAAGGAGGGCCAAGCACATTAATAGAAAATAAGGCTATCCATGGCTACAAACCACAATAACTATGAATTATCCTCAGTATAAAAAGGACAAGTATAAAAAGTGGAAAGAGGGGCACATAACTAAGTCAGAATATCAGCAAATAGCCCGAGCCTGCAAAGATGAAGTGAGGAAAGCTAAGACTCATAATGAACTAAGGCTTGCGACCAAAGTCAAAAATAACAAAAAAAGCTTCTTTCAAAATGTAAAAAATAAGAAAAAAGTGAAGGAAATGATTGGTCCATTAATGGGTGAAAGTGGCAAGAAGGTGACAAGCAATGGGGAGAAAGCAGAACTATTTAACTCATTTTTTGCATCTGTCTTTACACAAAGGGAAAAAACAGACCAACCTATCAAAAATAGTGCCATAAAAAACAGAATAGAAACACAAGTTAAGATAGGCAAGAAAATGATAAGTGAGCACCTGTCCAGCCTAGACGAGTTCAAATCACCAGGACCAGATGGATTACATCCCAAGGTTCTCAAGGAACTGGCAGATGTGATCTCAGAACCACTGAACTATATTTTTCAAAGATCTTGGAGCACTGGGGAACTACCAGAGGACTGGAAAAGAGCTGATGTAGTTCCCATCTTCAAAAAAGGGGAAAAAAATGGATCCAGGAAATTACAGACCTATTAGCCTGACCTCAATACCTGGGAAGATTCTGGAAAAGATAATCAAACAACGAATCAGCGAACACCTAGAGGCAAACCAAGTCATTACTAAAAGCCAACATGGGTTTGTCAAAAACAGATCATGCCAGACAAATCTTATTGCATTCTTTGACCAAGTGACAAAATTAGTGGATCAGAGGAATGCTGTGGATATAATTTACTTGGACTTCAGTAAGGCATTTGATAAAGTAGATCACAACCTACTACTTGATAAGATAGAAAAATGTGGGTTAGACACCATCACCAACAGATGGATTCGTAGCTGGCTGACCAGCTCTACTCAGCGTGTGGTCCTCAATGGAACCGCATCTACATGGAGGGAAGTGTATAGTGGGGTGCCCCATGGCTCTGTTCTCGGCCCAGTGCTCTTCAACATCTTCATCAATGATTTGGACGAGGGGATAGATGGGGAACTCATCAAATTTGCAGATGACACCAAGCTGGCAGGAATAGCCAACACTCCAGAAGACAGGCTTAAGATACAGGAGTATCTGGACAGACTTGAACACTGGGCACTATCTAACAAACTGAAATTCAATGGTGAAAAAAGGAAGGTTCTACATTTAGGCAAGAAAAACCAAATCTACAGGTATAGTATAGGGGGTACCTTGCTCAATAGTAGTAACTGTGAGAGGGATCTCGGAGTCCTAGTGGACAGTCACTTAGATATGAGCCAGTAGTGTGCTGCAGCTGCCAAAAAAACCAACTCAGTGCTGGGCTGCATTAACAGAGGGATAGAATCAAGACCATGTGAAGTATTAATACCACTTTACAATGCCTTAGTAAGGCAACACTTGGAATACTGCATCCAGTTTTGGTCACCACAATGTAAAAAAGACGTTGAGACTCTAGAAAGAGTACAGAGAAGAGCAACAAAGATGATTAGGGGACTGGAGGCTAAAACATATAAGGAACGGTTGCAGGAATTGGGTATGTCTAGTTTAACGAAGAGAAGGATGAGGGGGGACATGATAGCAGTGTTCCAATATCTCAGGGGCTGCCACAAAGAAGAGGGAGTCAAGCTATTCTCCAAAGCACCTGAAGGCAGGACAAGAAGCAACGGATGGAAACTAATCAAGGAGAGAAGCAACCTAGAACTAAGGAGAAACTTCCTGACGGTTAGAACAATTAACCAGTGGAACAACCTGCCTCCAGAAGCGGTGAATGCTCCAACACTGGAAGTTTTTAAGAAGAGACTGGACAGCCGTTTGTCCGAAATGGTATAGGGTTTCTTGCCTGGGCAGGGGGTTGGACTAGATGACCTCCAAGGTCCCTCCCAACTTTATTACTACTACTACTACTACTACTACTATTACTACTACTACTACTACTACTACTACTATTATTATTATTATTATTATTATTATTATTATTATTATTATTATTATAACAGATAGATATGAGCCTCCAGAAGCGGTGAATGCTCCAACACTGGAAGTTTTTAAGAAGAGACTGGACAGCCGTTTGTCCGAAATGGTATAGGGTTTCCTGCCTGAACAGGGGGTTGGACTAGATGACCTCCAAGATCCCTTCCAATTTTATTATTATTATTATTATTTATAGGCAAGCAGCATGAAGATAGGCATCTGGCTAACTACTGTGAAAATAACATGATCAACCACATAAGCTTTGGATGTGATCTAGCACAGTTCTTGAAAAAAACATTAAAATAACGTTAGTAACAAATAAGATTGAACAAATTATTTGAAATAGTTCCTTT